ATGGCTGGAGATTGAAACCAAACACAGGTGAAATCAAAGTTTCATCTGAAGATGACCACCGGGCTACAATGCCGAGGGGAGCAGTGAGTTTTCCATGCTCTGAATCTAGATCAAATGTCTGTCTGGAAGATGCTTTAGCTGCACGTAAGTCATCACAGCCCAGACCGAAATACTAGGTGAAATTCTCTGGCTGACCTGTTGTTAACAGATAATTGGGCTGATGACTTAATGCAGCAATTCCCAAGGTCAGTCTACTTGCAGAAGCATGCTATTTGACTGTATTTTGGATGTAACTGTCCAGCTGACATGTGATGTCTCTTTAATAGCAGTCACGTGGTACGTCTAGTAAAATGTTTACTAGAGGTGCATTTTAGTAAGCGTATAGCCTCCAGGATACTTTCAGCTCTAGCTAGAGCCCGTTTAGCAATTTTAAACAGATTGCTAGAGCAGACTTAAGAATATGGCACTTTGTCTGGACATGCTCATGATAGCAAACTGGTCATCACTGCATACTGTCAGCTTGGGAATCCCTCACCCCATGCAAGTCCTGCAAATTTGCTAGGATGGCACCACACAAGTGCAGAACAAAATTCCTGTAAGAATCGGCACTGGACTCCCACAGCCGTCACAGCGCTCTGATCTGTGAAGACTGGAACCAAGAACACTGGTCACATTTATGAGAGGGTAGCAGGCTCCTGAGGAGCAGTGAGTGGAAAGGACATAGAGGTGCTGCAGGTGCGACTTGCTGTGAACTCTCATGTGCTGCTGTAGCTCGGAGAGCACGGCTGATTCCTGTTCTGTATAAAGAGGATCTCAAGTTAGATTGTGGATGTGACTCTGCCTTACCCCCCAGCAGCAGCAAGACCATAGCTGTGTCCCTTTGGGAACTGACATCTCATTCAGAATGTGAACAAGGGTTTGGTTAGAGTTCAGGAAAGAGCCGCAAGAATTATTTGACTCTGGATGGAAAACACGGCTCCCAGCAAAAGAGTAAGAAAGTTAGCATATTTCATTGGGGAGGGGAAGGAATTTGAACCTCCACGGGGAATTGGTATTTGGTAACAGTAGCCCTCACTCTATTTACAAAAAAAAAAAAAAAAAAAAAACCAACAGAAAAATCCAATAGCTGAAAACTGTAGTCAAGCAATCCAGAGTGGGTAGAAAAAAGGTGCAGAGGGAGAAGAGGAGGACAGCCGCTCCTTAGCTGCTCTGGGCGTAGATGGGTTTCCAGCCCTTGGAGCCTCTCAGTCTAGACAGCATGCCTCGTCCCGGGGCGACCCTGGCTCCACGCGCGCTGCCTGGAGGAACTGGGTGAGGCTGGCTGGGCAGAAGTATGAATTAATGATCATAGCACTGCTCCTGACCTGGTACCTCTGATCCTTCGTTCTGACCTCTTCTTTTGGTCTCTCTTTGCCCCTTCTCTGGGGACCACCCGCCTTTCTGTGCTCCCTGCCACACCTTTCTCTGCCACGGCAGTCATGGCCCTCCCTCGCTCTCCCCCTGCTTCCCTGATGCCTGTGGCTCTCGCAGGGTTTGAGCCCACCCTCCTAGTGCACAGCATGCATGTTGGAGCCTGCAGGAGCCTTACCCCGAGTGCGCCGCCTTCTCCATCACGTTTGTGTCCTTGTCAGGGCGTTCACTGCCTTCTTCTCTCTCTTCTCTATCCTTTCCTTTCAGCCAGTGAGTAAGGTGAAACATGGTGTGACTCTTGGTTTCTAACTTCTGCATGAGCCTTGGTCACGGCTTGTTTGTGTGCCCAGCCTGATGCTGGGGTGGCACTGTGCGTGTGTGTGGACTTTTGGAAGGACTCTGCAGTGTCTCTCTGCGTGTATACTCACACCTGCTCTAGTTGATGCTCGCCCCGTGCTTGGCATGTATGTTGCGTGAGCTGGGTCGGGGTGTGCGTGGGTCGGGGTGTACGTGGGCTGTGCGATGCCTGCTCTCTGCCTGTCCTGGGTGACAGGTGGTAGGAAGCTCTATGTGTGCGTATATACTAGGTGAAGCAGGGCTCTGTGTGTGCACACACACGCATGTGGTGTGCTGGGAGGCCTCGGGTGTGCTGTGGTGTGTGCATGTTTGGGCTCCAGGGGAGCATGCTCCTCAGCTCTCCTCTGTCTGCCTTTATAGGACTGTCTTGAGGGACTGGGATGTGGCACCAGTGTCTTCCCCTGCACATCCCACATTTGCAGCCAGACTACTGGAAATGGGAAAGGGAGGGGAAAGTGATTCTGGGGCTTGAAATGCTTTGGAGGAAGAGTGCAATCCTGGACGAGGTAGTCCTGGAGTGCCAGAAGAGACTTAAACCTGAGGAACTTACTGCTGCAAGACGTCCCACAGGGCTAAGGAGAAGATCATCTTTTTCCCATTCAGAATGAGACCAGGCAGCATCACTTCAGAAAGGACTGCAGACAATCACTATTACATACACGAGGAAGGGGCAGCACCTGCGGGGGGACTGGGGAACCTGCCGTCCTTCCCTGGGGAGAGCACCTTGAATAGACCAGTGGGGACTCCTTGCTGTGCAATGGCTGGTGTGTGGCACTAACAGCAACCTGAAATGACAATGGATGAGCCGCAGGCAGGACTGACAGACCCTGTTCCAGGCAGATGATTTCTGGGGTTGAGGGGCAAATACAGGGTTATGAGAGACTATCAGGTAGGGTCATGCAGGGAAGGAAAGGTTATGGACCCATCACCTGCTTCATGGTCTGCCTACCTGGCTCATATCTGCTCTTTTCCCCCAGATCCTACAGAAGCCAACTCATGAGCTGAAGCAGCAGCTGGCTGGATACTCTAAGCGCGTGGCCAGCTCCGTCACTGAACTCATCCAGGCTGCTGAGGCCATGAAAGGTAAGCCCATGTTAGGGTTGCTTCTGTCTTGGGGGACAGGATCTAGGGCCATGATTACGGTCTGGGTCTGAGTAGCTGATGGGAGTAGGTAGGGTGAGAGCCTGCCCCATCCCCACAGGTGGGAGTGAGTGGAGCTAGGGGTCCCAACCAGAAATTAAGCCTTGTGCAGGTTTAGCCTATGCCTATCTTGGTTCCTGTGTTTTCTAGGGACGGAGTGGGTTGACCCAGAAGATCCCACTGTCATTGCTGAGAATGAGCTGTTGGGGGCAGCGGCTGCCATTGAGGCTGCAGCCAAGAAACTGGAGCAGCTGAAACCAAGGGCCAAGCCCAAGGTAGTGGTGCTGAGCCCTGCCTGATGCCCTGTGCTGAGCTTCGAGCAAGCTGGGGGCTCTCCTACCTGTATGTCTGTCTTTCAGCCTCAGTTGAGCATGAGGGGTTATGCATGGGAAGCCCCATCCAACAGAGTCTTCCTTTTTCTTCCTGCACTCCCGCTGCCTCTCCACATCCCCAGCTGGACCTTTCTCCTGTAGCCCCTTCCCCGCTGTGTCCCACAGCCATAGTTCCTCTCTCCATCTCTGTATGTGCGCACCTCTCAGCCCCCTGCCAACTTCCATAGCTTCCTGCCCTACGCTGTTTCCCAACACCCCTATCTAGGACTCACGCCCCTGTTTTTATCTACAGCAAGCAGATGAGAGTCTGAACTTTGAGGAGCAAATCCTGGAAGCTGCCAAATCCATTGCTGCAGCCACAAGCGCCCTGGTGAAGGCAGCCTCAGCAGCCCAGCGAGAATTGGTGGCCCAAGGAAAGGTAAGGCTGGAGGGAGGACAGAAACAGGCAGCAGGCGAGTCTGTGGTGAAGCATCGTATGTGCAGTTATGGGATCCTGAGCTGTCCTTTGGGTCTTGGACCCTCCACAACCCATGGCGAGTGAGCTTGCACAGAGAAGGCTCTGAGGCGAGTGTGGCTGGTGGACAGCGTTTTCCCCCTGCACACCACCCTCAGGAGAGCCTTATGCAGCAGGATCCCTGCTGGAGGAGGAAGCAAGAGCGTGGGAGATGGTTCAGAGATGTGTGAGGACAACCAGTGGGCAGCAAAACAGCCTAATCATGGAGATGCACAGCAGTTAGTCTGGTTAATGCAGCCAAAGAGCAGTTATAGGTGACCAGAGCCCAGCTGATGGGGACTCATCGCAAATGCGATCCCAGGGGCCCTGCGTCAGGCAGACAGGTAAAACTAGTCCCGTGGCTGGAGGCGTGAAGCTGAACTTGCAAAGAGATAAGGTGCGGAGATTTAACAGAAAGGGCAGATGGATCTAAGGCTTTGTTCGGTTCTCTGTTACAACCATCTTTTGGTTGAGACTGGGGTGTATTTCTAGAGGGACTGTTCCTGTTCCTGCTGTTGGGCTTTGAGGCAGGAGTTGGTCTAGGGAAGAGCTGAAAGGCCTGTGTAATGCGGAGCGTTAGCTTAGTCTCTTGTGGTGAAAGGGTCAGTGGCTGCCCCCCTCTGCCCTTTCGGAGAGACAGCTCCAGGAGAGGACAGCCGCCCCAGCAGCACTGACACACAGCTGAGGTACCTGCGCAGTGCCAGGCCCAGGGGCGCAAGCCCTCGAAGCCTGGGAACCTGTGGCCTGCTGCAGGACTTGGCTGCAGAGGGAGCAGCAAAGGCACGTGCCACCAGGCAGCCCTCCCCGTGGCACGGGGGATATCCTGGCACTGGGCAGCAGAGCAGCCTGGGAACACTGCAGCGTGCGCTGCTGACTGCCCTTGTGTCCCACAGCAAGGGACACACGGGGCAGTGAGACTCACTCCTCCTCTCCTGGCTCACAGGTGGGTGCCATCCCAGCCAACGCAGTGGACGATGGACAGTGGTCCCAGGGACTCATTTCAGCCGTGAGTATCAACAGCGTGTGTGGTGCCCATGGGATGGGAGGTCCTTCTCACAGGTCCTGCTGCAAAGACAGAGACACTGAGCTTGTGCTCCTCCGTGGAGGAAGCAGCTGCATTTCTGGCTCCCGTTCCCATCATCTGGGTCACGATGTGGGAGCTGCTAGTCTCCACCCCTTGCCCCACACCTCTTGGGAGCAGTCTAGGCGTACCCTCGCCTGAGGAGGCTCCTACGTCCTCGCTAATACCTTCTCTCCCTCCAGGCACGCATGGTAGCTGCTGCCACCAACAATCTGTGTGAAGCCGCCAATGCAGCAGTGCAAGGCCACGCCAGCGAAGAGAAACTCATCTCATCAGCCAAGCAGGTGGCTGCCTCCACAGCACAGCTCCTGGTGGCCTGCAAGGTGAAGGCTGACCATGACTCAGAAGCCATGAAGAGGCTCCAGGTGAGTCCCAGTCTGCCTCTGTGCACCTCCTGCACTAACTGGCTCCTTCAGGCTCCCAAACATCAAACTGAGTGCTCAAGGGGTGGGTGGGAGTGAGATCAGAGCACGTGGGGAAGTTTTGATGGGACCATGGCACAGCAGAAGGATGTCTGAGCGGAGGCGTCTCCCCAAGGCTCACACTCCCTGCCTGCATACCATTGTTGGAGGCTTTCTCGGGGCCTGCCCCAGGGGTGCCAGCAGAGAGGGCTCCCTGCTGGAAGCAAAGGCTGAGCAGAGTTTGGCCACGCTGGCCCAGGCGAGTGTGCATCGGCCACCGCTGCTCCCTGTGCTCTAAGGGAATGCCTGTGGCCTGCTGTGAGCCTACTCCTGCCCTGCGGTAGGAGCAGAGTGCCAGGCCTGCCATGCTGCCCCAGCCAGGCCCGTGTTTCTTATAACGAATGATTTCTTTTAGCCCCACCAGTGCTCCTGTGCATCAAACCCAAGGGTGTGTCCAGGCACTGTGGGCAGCCACCTCCCAAGCTTGGTGGCTGGGCCTGTCATGGGAGGAACGGAGGGAAGTAGGTTATCCATGAAGTGCTCGGAGGCTGGCATCTAGCACAGGACAGCAGTGGTCATTGGAGCACAAACTCCAGGAAGCTTGGACTTCACTGGTTAACTGTGTGCTGGGCGCATGCATAATCCTGGGCTGCTGTACGCCAGGGCTCAGTTACTGAGCCTGGGGGCGTTCAGACCTAATCGTCTGTCACGGGAACGATTGAAATGTGTGCACCGGATCATTGGCGTTTGAGAGGTTAACATTTTGGGCATGTTTTGCAGTGCCTTGCTCTAACATTTGGGGGTTAACTCTCAAAGACCGTGGCACACAAGGGGTTAATGCCCACCTGTGGCCCAGGGGGGCTTCTCAGCCCTGATCCTGATTCTTCGGGGTGGCACCATGGGGCCAGAGGCTGGGGATGGTCAGCTGGGCTGCTCCAAAGACCCTGCCTCGCTGCTCAGATGGGACCCAGAGCAAGGGACTCCCCACGTCTGCCTGGCCTGGGGCAGGACCACCCCTGGCCCGGGAGCCCTGCTGGGAGCAGCAGTGCCCGAAATGGTGAAATGGTCACGAGCGGGTTGCTGAGGAGACGCGCAGCTGACCATGGAAAGGAATCTGCCTGCAGTTCCCGGCGCGGCCTGCTGCCTCTCCTGCCTGGCTGCCTGGTGCCGCTTGCAGGCTGAACCCCATCCCAGCCTGGGGGAAAGCAGAGGTCCTGGGGTCCTGCACCACCTCCCCCCCCAAGAGGGCGAACGGGGTTCCCACGCCACCTAGCCCCTATCCCAGGCAGGGCTCCCTGAGCTTGGACGCCCTCAAGCTTTCTGTCTCATTCTGCATCCAATCCTCACGGGGAGGTGGGCCCTGAGCCGCCCTGGGCACATGTCATCCCCACACCACTGCTCCCAACGCCTTCCCCCCGCCCACAGCCTCCTTTCTTGCCTGCGCTCCCAGAGGCCCGCTGATGCCTCGCTACACCACATGCTGGAGCACCATCTTCGTCTCACTCCCTCCTCTTTTTCCCCTATGCTCCACAGCCAGATCTGTCCTCTAGCCCTGATGCCCCCCCTCCCCCAGCAGGTCTGCACCCTGGGGTGCCCCTGCAGCTTCCCTGGCTTCGTTGTGCCCGGAGGCAACAGGAGAGAATGGCCATTAAGATGGAGCAGTTGTGCCCTGGGGTGAGGCTGTGCTGAGTGGGCTGGGACTTACCACTGGGCCTTACCGCTGCTGCTTCTCCCTCTTGCCTACTCCAGGCCGCCGGCAATGCCGTGAAGAGAGCGTCGGACAATCTGGTGAAGGCAGCCCAGAAAGCAGCTGCCTTCCAGGACCATGATGAGACCGTGGTTGTGAAGGAGAAGATGGTTGGGGGAATTGCACAGGTGAGCAGTAGGGCTGTTCTGTAGGGGGCAGGGTCAGCTCTGGCTTCCAGCACAGCCTGAATATGTGTCAGGGATATGTCCTATGATCCAGCAACACGAGGCACCTCTCTGGAGAGCCTCAAAAAAATGCTGCAGGCAGGAAAATTGCACCCATCCCACCCACCACCAATTAAATACTGCGGATTCACAGTCCTCCCACTGCTTGTAGTAGCAGGCACTGCTAGTGAACATGCTCATACCAAAGTCACAGGCATGTAACACTGATAATAGGAGCACCATCCCTGCAGCCAGGACGTGTGTAGGGCGGAGCACAGGGCAAGGGATGAGAACTGCCCGGCATGAGGTGACACAGGTCCCAGCTCTGTCCCCTGGATGTGATCTGGCTCCAAGCTGTGAGCTCACAGCTGAGACCTGCACATGCAGCAGGTGTTGGGCTGAATCCCAGGAGCTCTGGTGCTCCCTGTTATTATCTCCAAAGGGCCGCGGTCCTACCACTGGGATTGTTCTGCCGCAGCTTGGAGAAACAGCAGCGCAGGAAGGCTGTGGCTGTGATGTGAGGAAGCCAGAGTATGGTGTGCAGCAGTAAGAGGGCCCAGCAAACAGGAGCGCAACACCTTGGTGCCCTGAGAGCCTGCCCCTGCCTGCGTGGTGCTCTTGGGCATTGCTGCGGCAGACGCTCTGTCCCTAGCACGTAGGTGGAGGGAGCTGTGCTCCCGCAGGCTCTCACTGTGTTCTTGCTGGCAGATCATCGCTGCCCAGGAGGAGATGCTGCGCAAGGAGCGGGAGCTGGAGGAGGCCCGGAAGAAGTTGGCCATGATCCGGCAACAGCAGTACAAGTTCCTGCCCTCGGAGCTGCGGGACGAGGAGCAGAACTGAGCCCTGTGCGACTGAGCTGCTCCTGGGCAGAGCCCTCCCGCCACTCACTGCACAGACTGCTGCCGCCGGCTCCTATTTAAGACCCACTTCGAGCAAAGGGCTGCCTTGGATAGACCAGAGCTCTTCCTGCACCCAGAGCGCCGGGCCTAACTGAGACACCGCTCACCACTGCCCCGAGCAGGCGCTGCACCAGCAACTCTGCTTCGCCGCCCAGCCCACCTTCCCACGCGCACGCACATCCACAC